ATGCCTCTTTCAAAATTGTCAACACCTACTGCAGTGGAAAATGATTAGGAAATAAAAATAATTTTTCCACCAACTGTGATTTTGTGCACGTGTGTGTGTGTATTTGTATAAACAAGAGCCATTCTGATCTGCAGAGGTCCCTTAACTGTAAAATCACCACCCCTTGTAGAGGTTATTAGCAGGCTATTGTCTTTTTTTATTGAAAGAGAGTTGATGAGTAATGACTACTATAACTTTCTTGATTGAGGCATTTACTCAACTCTTTGTAGTTTCATTGATTTCTTGTTTCATTAATTCTTTGGATCAAGGCTTGTGCAGATCACTACTTGTAATGGGCACCTTTTTGGTTTTGGTTTGGGGTTTTTTTGGTTGCTTTTTTTTCTTTTGCTTTGTGTGTGTGAGTTTTTTTTCTGTGCTATTCTTTTTACCAACTTAACAGCTACTTGCTAACCATTTTTTTATCAAGATCTTTAAATTCATCTTACTCCTTGGTTCCCGCTTAAGGTCATGCTACCTAATTGCATTAACTGAAATTCTTTTAGTAAGTTCTGTTTCTTCAGGTTTTTTAACAAACATGATACTGGTTCTTCAAGCAAATTATATTCTTCAATGTAATTTTGCTGTCTTTTCTTCCCGTATGATACACTGAAGAGCAAAAATAACTCTTGTCGGGCTTTAATCTCCAGTTCTGCATACGGTATGAAGTCCAGGTGTAGCAAAGTACATTTACAAAGACACTCCACAGCTATTAAAATTTCATGTAACTTGTCATGAAAATTAAGGCTTAAAGTCTGCAACAGCAGATGAAACAAGTTTCTACCAATAGATCTAAGTTTTTTCAGTGTCTTCTTTCCTGACGCACTTGCTAAGAAGCAGAATTAATCTGTAGGGGTATGCAAACTTCACCTGATCTTCCTTGCTTTCTTCTCAGTTCAGTCGTAACCCTACCCTTGAATTTTGCCTGGGGCAAAGAAAATTTGAACAAATCTATGATGAACAATTCTATCTATAACCATTCTTGATATCTGATAAAGTTTGAGTCTGAGTTTTTAGCTGAAGAGTGGCAAACATGGCAGCAAAATATAAAGAATGGATTGACACCTAAACGTCATTATATTTGAGATTTGTGGTTTGAAACCTGTTGTGAACCCACTGCTAACTGGGAACAGCTGGACAGATTGATCAGTAGCTTATTTTCTTGCAATGCTCCAGTGCTTTTGGTCTTGAGACAACACCAAGGGCAAACAAAATTCTCCATTTATTTATTACTTAGTTCTAATAGCCTTTTAAACTTGATAATTGGCAAGTATCTTATTTTAGAGGCAAAAATTCAGCAGTCTTTCCTAGATGAAACACTATTATTATCTTGAACATTCTAAGTGCAGTAAGGAACAAAGTATAGGTATGGTTCATATAGTAAGCAGAATCGGAGAGCAAGTATATTAAAAATACCCCTTAAATAATGATGCTTGCAGTCAGGAGTCAAACACTGACTACCAGATGGTGTCAGGAAACAACGGGCACTAAACTTTCAGCTTTACAGTTTGGCTTTCTAACCTGGGAGAGCATTTCAAACAAATGTACACTGCATTTAACCCCTTCTTATCATGCCATATAGGGCCATCCTGAATATTTAAAATAACTTTTGTCAGGTGAGAAGCAAAAAAACCAGGGTCACTCTTGCAATTTCTGCTTGTTGTCTGGTTATTGACCAGTGGTTTCTGCCTTTGAGGATGGAGTATGTACAAGGCAGAGTAGGTAGGCATTTTGTATTTGCACTGCCCCAAATCATTATGAGGAATAAAATCACTGAAATGGATAGTTCTGTGACCATTTGCAACTCTTGTGGGAGTGTTTTCCATAGCATGATTTAGTCTTATATTGCATTCCACATCAGTTAGGGTAACTTTTACTTGTCCAATATGTCTGCTTCCAATGTGGAAAAGTATTCCAGAAAAATATGGTTTGTCTGATGGCTTTATCTCCCTCCCATGCCACACTTGCCAGGACAGCTGACCGGTTTACAATAGATTTAAATAAGTCCTGCCTACAGAGCCATCATAGCTGCTGGAGACACTGTTTGTGGTTATGATGTTGGTCTCCTCCCGACCCTTACACCTGCTGAAGCCCTGCTTTGCAGGAAGTGGTAGGACATCCATCTGCCAATGGGAAGCAGTGAATGAATTCCTCTTTTTGCTTTGCTATGCACAGGGCTTTTGCTTTCCCTAATAAAAAGCCATTATCTCAGTCCATGAGTCTCCTCACCCTCTGTTCTCTCCCTATCTTGTTGGAGAAGGGAGTGACAGAGTGTCTGGGTGTCTGGGATTTTTGCTGTTGGCCAGGAACCATCCGTGTAGTGGGGGTGGGTTATTTCCTACATGTGGTTATTGACACATCAAGATCTCAGAAGCCATATTACTTCATGCAATGATATATAATGGAGAAGACAGCAAACACTGAAACATGTGGAAAACTACTTTCAGCTATTTTGTCCAGGGAGTAATCGGTAGGCTTATTTAGCATTGCAAAACTGTTAACATCAAAAATAGTTTATACATGGTGGTCCACTTTTTAATCTAGTAATTTCAGAGGTGAGAATCTAAATTTCAAATATACAGCAAGAACAGATTGTTCAAGCTGTGACTATTTTATTTCAATTAAAATATTTCTTCTCCCTTTGATTGTTGAAATGTACTGGGGCTTCAGCTGTGGGAGAGAGAGAAAAGGACTTTTCAGATTTTCCCTTCCTCTAAGTATCGTACAGATTAAATATTTTGGTGATTTTTTCTTTATTTAATCTTAATTACAGTAGACCTGCCAGGTATATATGTGCCAAATTTCCCTACAGAGATTTATTGCCTGTCACCCACACTCACTCAGCTCACATTAGCCATCATTTTGTCACTGCCCCACAAACCCATACACCGTTTTGTGAGGACCGGACCACTCACAAAGTACTGCCAATTGCATAAAGGCATCAGATCTACAGAAAATCCTTCTGAGTCCTAAGAAACACAGCTTTTCAGATGATTTCCCTATTAACAAGTACTTCAGTCGTAACTGACCATTCTAACATTTGCAGAGAAGTGAGTGGTGGTAAGGGTGACCATCTGGTTCCTCAGTATTCATGACACTCAAAGCTAAAGCACGGGAGTGCTTGTGGAAAGTGAAAGTCAGAGGTAACTGAATATACATGAATTTTCAAACACTAACAAGATTTCAGACATTCTCTTTTCCCCTGTGTGAACTTGCGATGCTAGCAAAGCAAGAGCCAGTGAATGTCCTGACCTCTGGGAACTGCAGCTTAACTGAGAGTGATGGAAGGTCAGCTGCTTCTTCTTAGAAACTCACGCAAAAAAATTTATTTTCCTTTCTGTTCAGAAATACGTGTCCAAATTTCCTCTAACATGTGAATCCTAACTTAAATATTTTTGTTATAATTTTTATTTCTTTCTAAATCATATATCTTTTCTTTGCACATGTGCTTTGTTGCCTAGGAGTATGTATATACAACTACTGACTTGTGAAGAAATATAGAAGTAAAGCAATAAAAGTTTTAAAATCTTCAGTTAACAAGACAATTGCATTCCAAACAAATTCTGTCTTGAAAATGTTATTTGAAAGATTATAAAATTCTTTTTGAAACTGTTTTCGCCCTGCTGAACTTTCCTAGAATTTAAGCATTTTAGGGGAAAAAAAAATGACATTTTCAAAACCTTTTAGACAGAAAGCCTCAGAGCTTTTTATCAGTTGTACCTGATAAGTTCACTAGACAGTATGAAATAGTGCTTCCTAATTTCTCTGATCATCCTATGATCAAGGGGTAATTCAGGTTGGTTTCTGCTCATATTAAGTTTAACAAAATATTTGCTTTCCTTGTCACTCAGAGTACCATTGGTATTTGATGTGGGAGTTCTGTATTATTATTATTTTTATTATTATCAAGAAGCTACTTATATTTAATGAGCAGTCAGCAAAATACACACACATACTTGCAGATGGAGTGCGTTTGTCTTTGAGCTGGAGTGACTTGGGCTTTGAATTCTCACCTAGTTAGGCTGAGCTGCCTAACACATGTCAAACTCTTGGCTGTCAAGAAGACAGTGTTTTTTAGATGACAGTTGAAATCGTTTACAAAACATGCATTTTAAGTGTGGTGCAGCAGTAAAGTCTCGTGGAAGAAAAATTTTCTTAAAATTATTTTTTGGATGATATTCCATGTCTTTTACCAATGGTTGAATAGCTATCGGGTTCGAACAACGTTGCAAGCATTTTTCATATTTCCATTTTTAACTTCTGTATTCCCACTTTACTATTGGCTGTAATTAGAATTGCTCTTTTAAAAAGTGTGCAAATGAAAAATGTTAGAGAAGTCCACCTGGATGCTTATCTGGATTCTACTGCCAATTGTTTGTAACAACCCTGTAGAGGATGATTTTGGTTGCAAAGAGTATTGTTGCAAAATACTACCAAACTCAGTGAGCCAAGGACAATATCTACTGCATCCTGTATGTTAGATCTGTAGTGGCCTTGCTGTGTGCCTCAGTCTGAGGAGACTGGAATGTTTGCTAAAGAGGATGAGTTATGAGATAGACCAAACTCCTCTCTCTCAGCAATTGTAAATTCAAAATTAAGGGGCTTTAATTGAGGAAGTGTGGAAAAAAATCAGAAGAAATAACAACCCTTTATTAAAAGATATATGTATGTTGGCAAAAAACAGTAACAGAACGCAAAAAAAACTAGACAGTAATCCTAGGAAAAAAAAGTCTGACTGGATACTTCTCTGTCCTTCAGCGCAGTCCTCATCGAGGCCTGCAGGGGGCGCTGTTGGATCGCTGGAGGTGCAGGGCCTGCAGTTCCCGTCGTGGCCGGCAGGGGGCGCTGTCGGGCTCTGGTGGTCACCACGTGGGGAGGGGGGGGGGAGGGGCGGTCCTGGACTGCGGGAGAAGCCCAGAAGGAAATGGGGGACCCTTCCCTCTGTGGGAGGAAGGGGTAAGGAAAAACAGTTCAACCCCCCCCCCCCCAACAGGACTCACTGTGGTTCTCAGTTGATGGCACCCCAAAAAGCTCCTCCTTTTCTCCCAGTGAGCACAGAGACTCTCCGAGGAAAGCACAGCAGGACCGGGCTGGAGACAAAAAAACAGCTCGCAGGCAAGTTGAAGCCAGCAGTCAGGGCTGAACAAGACGGGAAGCCAGACAAACAGGCTTCTGGGCCTTCTCTCCAAATGCCTGCACGCAGACCCCCGCCTCTGTCCGAGAGAGCGAGCTCCGCGGGATGCCCCTCTCCCCTCAGAACAGAGCCAGCCCCCCCTCCTCTCTCCCCAGCCTCTCTGATGGTCCATCAGCGAGGAATGCAGTCTGGTGAGTCAGTTCCTTTGTAAGGCTAATTACCTCCCTTCCCCCTTCCCTATTCGAAACCCTTTCTCTTACAGGGAAGCAGGGAAAGAAAAAATTCCTCTCTCAGATTTATAACCTATAACACTGTGATTTCCAGCCAGTCACCATTCAGCCAATAAATGTATAAAAATGCAATTAAGAAACAGTTCTCTATATATTAATTTATACCTTCTCATGTTTCCTAACAAAATTGCTTATTCTTAAAAATCCACAAGATTTGTGTGCTGTGAATTTCATGACTGAATATTTTGGGTTTCTTCCTCCCTCCTTCCCCCCCTTCTGTCTGGGTTGGTTGGTTGGTTGTTTTTTTTTGTTGTTCGTGTGTGTTTGATTTTTATATTGGTGTGTCTTTGCTTAGGGTTTTTGTTTGTTTAATTTTTATCCAAGTTTCATATTTTACAAATAAAAGATTATAAAATGATGATACAGTAACAAGCAGTTCATTCATAGGAGTGTAAAGCTGTAAATGGACCAACAGTATTCTGATACCAAAATTTCTTAATTACAAAATGTACAAGTACAATAAAGAGCACAATTTGAATGTTTGCCCACATAACACAAAGTGCTTAGGATGATGCTGTATTTGTAAACAGTACATTATGTAGATTGGAACAATACGAAGCAATTCAGTTAGTGGTAGTGTGACCTTTTACAGCTTAAGCTCAAAAGTAGCAGAAGGAACTTCACCTATAAAGAGCATTTAGCTATCTCTACTTTATTACTGTTTTCTAGCATTATCTAGATGCGTCTTCTCTGTATTGCAGTCGAATTTGTATGTCTGAAGCCTTTCGACAGAGAGATTACCCTTTCTCAGCTCAATGACATCATACACATGTCCTCAGTAATATAAGTTTAACCATCAAGATATTGATTTGGGAAACCACCAAGCTGGGCATCATTAAAATAGCATTTGCCACTTCACAGTGACTGCAGTAATGCATTATCTCCTCTGGTGCACTGTGCACCAGAGAACAGCATTGCTGCCTTAGTATCCTTCCTGTGGTGAAAATTGTTAAGGTGCCTGCTGCAGGTAGCAATGGTGTTGCATGCAATACTTCCCTTATCTTATTTCTTATCAACCTAGGCTAAGATGTGGGTTCTGCCAGAAACAAGGGGAAAGCAATTAAAAAAAATCTACTCACTTCACATAAGAAAAATATTTACAATTTAAAAATCAAAACTAACAAGTAACATGTGATCAAGATCTCAGTTTTATCTCTTTTATATGATAAAGTGCTCTGACACATTCTCATTATTCTGCTAAACTGTCTCAATAATGACTCAGAAAATTCCATCTGCACTTCCTACCCAGCAGCTGAGTTTTACTACAAGTCCCTTAAGAAGTAAAATTTTCCAGGTAGGCTTTTCTTAAAAAAAAGTTACTGTTCTTGCATTTGAATATCTTGTACTTACTTTGTTTTAAAATGTAGTGATTGGCACATACAGTTTGTGGTTCTGAACAATATCCTCCAATGTAACAAATACAGCCAAGAGTGTAGTGTCAGAAAATGGCTCATTGAGGGCAGGAGCCTGTTTTAATCATCATGGGAGAAAGGCAGCTTGCTATGTAGCATTGGATAGCCTTCAGGTACAGCTACTGAGCAGCTCTCAATGCTGTGAGTGAAACAATGGGAAGAAATCAGATAGAGGATTACAGGAAAGTAAAGAGCAGGGGATGGGAAGCGGCCCCAGGAGAGTCTGTGGCTAGTGTCGTGTTTAGTCACGCTATGTCAACCACCTGGATTTTTGGGAATTTAATCAAGTTCCAGGAAGCCTGAACAGTTAACTGGTTAAGCAGTAGTTCTGCTGAACCACCCCAGCAACACCTGTAAGTGCAGAGGAGGTTAATGAACACCTTTGGTTCCAAAGGGGCAGGAATCAAGATGAGTAAGGGAGGAAATTATGAACTCATGGAGCAGACTCATTAGAGAGCCAGGAAAAGGAAAGCTCTCATCCTGGAAATTCCCAGCTGAACACAGAGTGGGGCAGCTTTTTGCTGACTTCCCAGGACAAGAAAACCATATATATACATTGTCTTGAGGAATATTTCCATCTCATTCGTCACACATATATGTTCAAAGCAAGAATAGCTAAACATTTTTCCCAATAAAGGCATTAGCTTGTGAGGGACTCTATTTTCAAGGGGAATGAAGGATACCAGAGGCACTTCTCCATGGGTTCCTATGGACCTTAGTCACTCCAGCACTGCCATTATGCTAGCTGGCTACTGACCTTCTTTGAGTCATGGACCAACTAATTCCTCTCCAGAGGAAACCCAGAGTTGATGAATAGAATCACAAAATGTTAAGGGGTTGGAATGGACCTTAAAAATCATCTAGTCCCATAGGCAGGGACACCTCCCACTAGACCAGGTTGCTCAAGTGAACCTAGGTTTGAACACTGCCAGGATTGGGGCATCAGCCTCACTGGGTAACCTGTTCCAACGTTTAACGACTCTCACAGTGAAAAATTTCTTCCTAATATCTAACCTAATTTCCCCCTCTTTCAACTCCTTGTCCTTTCACTACATAAGAGTCCCTCTCTGGCTTCCCCATATACCCCCTTCAGATACTGAAGGGTTTTTATGAGGTCTCCACAAAACATTCTCTTCTCCAGGCTGAACAGCTCCAATTTTCTCAGTCTTTTTTGGTAGGGTGAGAACTTCTCTTCAGGATCTGTTCCATACAGCCAATGAGGATGTGAAGCTGTACAAGGGTTCATTGCTCAGCTTACCAGTCTTTCAACACTATCTACCTACCTACCTACCTACCATGGGCTCCCCCACATCCCATGCATGCATGACACAGTGCTGCTTTCCTGAGACAAAAACACTATTCTTGCAGGTTGTCAAGGCTCTTTCTTTTAAATGCATCTGTCTTATCTTAAACCGGTACCCTAACAACAGCTAGCATGTTGCAGGGGCACAGAGGGCCAAGCTTAGGCTTTGGCATCTCAGATGCCCTCAAGACTCTATGGACCAGGCACCTCCCACAAGATGGTACAGCCAGCTTGGCACAACAAAGTACAACTAATGTGCTGAGCTGCGACCATTAACTTGTATTCCAGAAGTTTAATGAAGCATTTTCTAAGGCCAGAGATGCCACCAAAAGGTTTGGTACATCTTTACATAAGTGTGCAAGCAGTACTGAGTCTGTGGTGAGAAGGTCTTCACTGTCCCACCTTTCCAGAACTGTGTTCAATGTCCCTCCTGTCTGGGCCTTGGACTCTGTCTTGAGCCCAATAGATCAGGCAGCCCCGTTGCCATCTCCGTGTCCTCATCACTAAAGATGAGGAATTAGAGGAATGGCCACCTCACCATTGGATCCTTATCCCTCATGACTCTGATGAGAAGGTGTTACAGAGGGTGATCAAATCTCTGGGTGCGAATGAACTGATGCTGGGTGAGCCAGGCTTGGGGGTTATTTGTTGCTATGGCAGCTACACATGCATAGATGACAATAGGCACTTGCCTCCCATCTGAGAGGCAGGTTTCCTGAATGGTCCTTGTGACTGAGCTTGTATAAACCATTTAGCACTCTCCTGCTATGGCCCAGTGACTGCAGCATGGACATGGAGCTTATCAGCAGCCCCTCCCCAAAAACCCTGACTGTGCCAGAGTAGCATCATAAACATCTATCACCTCTGTGACCACAACGTATTTTTTCAATCTTTATATCCATTAAGTCTTATATCCATTAAGGCTCCATTAAGTGTGATGCCTCTTCTGTGGGAGTGACTTTTAAACGTGTTGCTCCAATTGGACTCCCAGTTCCCACCTTAGAGGTGGCCTTCCATCCTACTAAATTTTGCATCCTAGGTTGGCAATCTCACACGGTTAGTCCCAACAGTAACAGACACTGGTGTACACAACCCCAAACCTTCCCTATACAGGGGAAAGACCACCAGAGGTTGCAATCAAAAATGAGGGGTTTTTAGCAAGTGTGGCTGTGTTGGGGATAGCTAAAAGCAGGTGAGGTTTGCAGATGTGGAAGCCAGAGCTACGCCCAGTGTGGTGGTACCCCTCATCCAGGCCTGTCCCATCTCAGTTGAGCCATCCCAGTCTGAGGCCATCCCAGTGAAAGGGCTCTGACATCATGTTCCAAGAAGTTGTGGATGCAAGTGAGGCAGGAAATGGTCAAACATTAGCTTTGCCAGGGAGCAAGGATGAAGGTGTGCTGCCTCTTTTTGGTGTGCTCTGCTGTGGCCCTGCACAGAGTGCAGCACTGATGAGGAGTGAAGCTCACGGGCACATTGGTGAATGAATATGAAGGGCTTTGCGACTGTGATCCTGACAAGGTTTGTTCTGAGTTTTGCTGCAGTCTCTCTACTCCAGGGAGCTGATCACAAAGAGCGTTAGCATGAGTCATTCCTCACCAGCTGATGGGAGGCTCCCTTCACGGATCATAAAGGCTGCATAGATGTAGCCTAAATGTCTCTGTAATCATCAGAACTCAACTGTCAGGTACTGCTATTGCTCCCAGCTTGTCATTTGACAGGGTATGTTCTTCTGAACCTGATTTTCCAATAAATTTGAACATATTTTTGCTAGCAGGTAGACAAGCAAATGATAGTGCTGTCCAGGGAGAAAGTCATGACTAAATCTTACTGGAATTCACAAAATTTGCATCCTCCTACTCAGTTTACTTTGCAGCTCTTTGTCACACACATACTCTGAGCTTACTGAATACAAAGAATGTGTGGAAAGAAGGAAGAGAGAGTGGTCACCACATCACCTGCTTTCACCTGCTGCTGAGCACCTCTTCAGAAGGGCCCAAGGACAGGAGGTGCTTACAACTGGAAAGCCTAGGGATCCAGGGTGGACCACACATCACAGACAAGACCCTGGAGCTGGCTAGGTCAACTGCTACCCAGACAAATATCCTCATCCCTGATGCTCTGAAAGAAAGCCCCTCTCATCAAGATCTTGGCTTGCTGCTTTGCAATATGGGAATGACAATTTTCCTTCACACTAGTTGTTTGAAAGAACAGCGTAGACTGCTAAGACTGGGACAATGTTCACAAGTCAATAAATCCTCAATTTTTCCCTGAAAATCTTTAATCAAAAAAACTCCTTCCTGCCAACTCTGCTATCGATCAACATCAAATCAATACTGTCAAATAATCCCTCCAAATTCATGTTTCTCTGTTAAATATGGGTTTGACCATTTCCCATTTTATAACAAAAAATGCACACCACGACTGCTGTAAATAACATCTATTTGATTTAGATTGTTTTGAGGTGCCCCATCACTTTTGGGGGAGAGGCCATGTTTTGTAGCATCATTATAGGTAAGTAGAGGAGGAGGAGAACCAGGCGGCAGCCAGAAAAAAGGTCTGCACTAAATGTACTGGAAGTTGCATTCTGGTCTTCTGGGTTTGCTGGAGTAGAAGAGGGAGTCTCAGGAGTTTTTAGCAGTTTGAGTGGAAATGCACGAAAACTCTTTTTTTAACAAATGCTTCCTTATTTCATCTGTTAATTAATAAGTGATGTTACCTAGGTGTTAATTAAAGCAAAACAACCCCTACAATGACAGATCTGTGAAAAAGGATGTCTTCAAATCCCATCACTCCCACCTGTTCATACTGAGCTGGTTTTGCCCTACATAATTTCACCATTTCATTCTCACCTCTCCACTCATTCTGGCCTCCATAAACTTCAGGATTTTCTAGCTTGCATGTCTAATGAAAAAGAAATGGAAATTCTGAGGAGAAGGGACAGTCTTTTGCTATCCATTAGAACAGAGCTTTGCTGGATCATGGGGATCCTGATCCAGAAGCAGAACCTGTAACTATCATGCCATTGGCAATGACGTGAAGGGTAAGAAGAGTCACCCTTGTCTCTGGGCTAGAAATATTACAGTACAGAGTCTCCTCACAGTGCTGTGTACCACCCTCATGTCTGCAGTGCTGAAGTGCTCTCAGCAGTCAGTTTCACAAGGCAATCAGCCTCTCCTCACTGTGGTCTCTACCCCATGGGTGCTGAAAAATAACCACTTAACAGATGACTAAATATTGTCTTTTATTCTTGCTTTACAGCCACAGGTCTAAGAAGCTACATCTCAGCTCCTACAGGGAGGACTTACATTCAACGCCTTCATGAAAGTTCCACTGCATTCTAAAGCAAGAGAAATGTTGTTATTTTCAGTCCTACTCTTTCTCACTGTGAAAAGTCGGATTTGTTGACATGCAAAAAGGCAAACATGAATAATATACACTTGTTGATTATTCCTTTGTTCACTTTTACTTTTGTTGGAAATACTCCTATAGTACTACATTTTTAGTCTCAAAAATGTTTGTTGCCAAATCTGATATGGACCTCATCTTTGTCCAGACAATGACATGAATATTCCTCCTCTTCAGTCCAACGTAATATGGTATACTTTCATTTCCAAACACTTAAATGACCTTTCACTTCTGTCTTGAAAATCTTTTTAAAGTGAAGCTATAGCTTTTTCTGGAACATTAGCTTTCCATCTAAACCCTAGTCTAAGACCAGCTGTGGCCTTTTCATGAGTTTTCTCCTTTTCCATGCAGTCTTTTTGGTCTCCAGCAGTGAAAAAAAAGCTGTTTGAAAATGCTGTAGGTTTCTTAGATTGGTCTCATACGCAGGCCTTCAATGGTTAAGTAAAGGTAGTTCTTCAGTGTGCTGACTTCATCCCTTCAGGGTTTTTCCAGCTGCTCAGGTGCTTGGTACACTCTGTCTTTCCTTTTTCTGATGCGGATGGAGCCTATGTTATTGAAAAACTCCATTGATGATTTACTAATTAGCCATTATTACCAGAATTGGTCTGACCTTATCTACTTTCAGTACTGCTCTTACTGGCTCTGCTCCTCCAGAGCATTCTCACCTATTTCCATGCAGAATGCACACAGAGGAGCTTGTTTGGATTATGAGTCAGAAGATAAGCCCATCTCCCAGCCTCCAGCAACAGCTCCTGAGGCTTAACTGTAATTTCCAATATTCTTTACAATAATTGTTATTTTCTTCACAAGGTAGTTTGAGGGATCAGTATGTAAAAGCAGTAGAGATATTACTAAAATTTGCCTGGCGTTTGCAGTCTAGGCTATAGACTATATGAAATATTTTACAGGCACAGGAATGTCCTGAATATCATTGTGCTTTTTCCTCATGTTGAGCATAGGGTGAATGTCAAGAGTCTCCAGCACAAACTAAACAGTGTTAGGAGGCTAAGTAAGGTTTCTTCCATCATGTACCTCTTTCTCTGACAAGGATGATGGAGGTTGGTGGGAAGCTGTTCTACCTTCTACTTCACGAGCAGCCATGCCGACAGTGTCATGACACAAAATAATGAAAATAACATTAACTTAAACCAAGCACTAACCAACACAGGAAACCTCTCTGTTGTAGTGGGTAGCTGTACACTGCAGTCTCCCACAAGCATGCTTATATGCTCACCAGCCTCTGGTGCTGTGTAGGAAGCTTGCCCAAGGGAGTTGGTTCACTAGAAACCAGTAAGGTTACACCAGATTACAGCTGCGTTTGTCTGAAAGGCTAGGGCTGCTGTCAGAAGCCAAGAAGTTCAGACTGATGCCTCAGAGTTTTTGATTTTTTTTTTAATTTTTTTAATTTTTATAGATTTTAGAAGTAGATATGTAGTGGACGTAGATTTTAATGTATCGGTATTTCCAGTGGAAGTAACTACAGCAGCACATAACTCAGGTATCCACACTGAGGTTTCTACCAGCATGATTAACATGCATTCTTTTACTGTCTCACTGTATTATGTCTCTTACCAGTATTTTTCAGTAAAAGTAGCAGCAGTAGCTTAATGGTTGCACATACCAAACCCTGTCCCATATCAATCCCTCAAAATTCCGTTAGCTGTTTAGTCTTCTTTTCAAGGTGGAATTGCAGAAAACACCTTAACATCTGCACCAGGAGATGTAAACATGGGCAAAAGTGACCTTCAAGCCTGGAACTTTGGAGGACCTCTAAGGACTGACTGTGCTCCGAGGAGGATGAAGATGATGAAAGAGGGGTCCCAAACTCCCCCAGACTCAATTCCTGAGGGGGTGTGCCGGGGACCAGAACGGGACAGAACCGGGGGCTGGTCAAAGGGGGTTGGATGGACAACATTATGAAATTGTACAACCTGTGCCCGAACATGCACGCGGTGGTTTGTATTCCTGTGGGCCAAGCACTCATTAAAGCTTCTGCTCTTCTTATCATATCTCTATAATAAATTGGCCTGGAGTCTTTTTTCTCCTCGGTCTTTTAGGCAACAGATCAAGAAGAAAATGGGGGCTATCAGAAAAGTTGTGTGCAGAGCACATGAGAGACTCCTGGTATTTGGAGGTTTCAGACAGGCGAAAGAGCAGAGTGTTTCTTTGAGACGCTCTGTTGAGTTGTTCATTCCATAGAACCTGTCTTATTTCTTCACACCCCCAAGCCTGCTGCCTTAGTGGACCAGCAGCACCCTGGGTTCAGGGCCAAAGAAGGAGGAATTGCATGTTTTTAAATAGTTACTTAAACCCTGCAGTTTAGGAATGTCACACCGCATATGTGTAGCAGCGTGGCAGCCTTAACATTTTGCTACCCAGATGAAAGGGAGGAGGAATTCCCTACGTGGAATATGACTACATCATATGTGAATATGACTACATCACTCTAATCGCAACATGATTTATCACAGATATTTGGGAAAGAATTTCTGTAAAACACATTTTTGCACTGGGAATGAACAATTTTCAAAATGGGAAGCATTTCCTTCAGAAGGCTCACTGGCTTTTGCCAGACAGATGCACTTTATACTGGCTTTTTTATTATTTTTAGCATATCTTTAAGCATAATGCATAGTACTTCTAACAGAACACTGTAGATAAATCTGTTGTGGCATGTTGTCTCCAGTATTTGTAATACAGACCATGGAGACAGCTTGTACATGGACAATACTGTAGCAAAGAGGCAAAACTGTTTTCTTGTGACGCATTGTTAAATATTGACAGCATAAAACAACCCAGTTTTGAGCAGGTTGGACCATACTGTAGTGTTTGTAACAACACCTGTAATTTTCCCTATAGATTTTGTCCTAAGAGAAGATGGTGCAGTCATTATCCATTCCTTTATAAAGCTATAGCAATTTGGCACTCAGTCCCTCAGGTGAAGGAGAAGGCGATCTGTGGTCTTTACTTAGGCATATCCGTTTTTCAGGAAAGTACAGCTGATGATGACAGAAGGCTTCCCAATAGAGTACATAAATCAGGGACAGGAAAAATGCTCCAAAGCGTTCCCAACATTGAAAACAATCCCCCTCAAATAAGGAATACACTCTTGTGGTTGTGACCAATATCCCGTTTCCAAGCAGATGCTCTTTAAAAGGGATGGAACAACTAGAAGATTGCAAGAGGCTGGCTTAAAAAAAAAAAAAAAAAGTGAAATTCAGAACTAGCTATAGTATTAGCATGGTCATCATGCAGGCCATCACCTGCATCAGTTGCACCCAGCAATGACAGATTAGGAGGCTCCATCCAAGATCCTAAAAATCCTCAAAAAAGACAACCAACTCTCCAAAGACATAAACCAATAATCAGTCTTTCGAGTGTGAGTACTGAGTACTCACAAAGAAAGAGAACAAAAGACAAATCAAATCATAATGCAGGAAAAAAGACTGACTTAAGCAAAGAGCAACTATAAAAGTTGAATCTAGATTCATGACCAGAACGGTCAAAGAAAAATGAGCCAAGTAGCCATATAACTCCACAAAGACTTGGGCAAGTCTAGTGAACAATCTTCCATTAAGACAGAGCAAAGACAGGATAGGCAAAGAGGCTTCTGCCAGAAAACAGAATGGCATTGTAGCATATGTAAACAGGGAAAGCATGCCCCAATACAGTGGATACAAGCTGCGGAGAGAACGCTCTGAATGCTGAGGAGAAGAAGTGTACAAAAAAGGAAAACAAAAGAAGACAACCACAGAAACAAGCAGGGGTCCAAGGAGGGAACACTTGCACACACAAGAGCTCAGTGCAGCACAAAAGAAACTACAAACCACAAACCACAAAAATGAGCAGAAGATGTCTGTAGAACTTGGTGTGCTAGCAGATGCAAGAAAAGGGTCAAAACTATGGGTAAACTAGAACCACAGAATAATTAGGGTTGGAAAGGTCCTCTGGAGACCATCTAGTCCAGCCCCCCTGCCAAGGCAGGGTCACCTAGAGCAGGTTACCCAGGAACATGTCCAGGTGGGTTCTGAATGTCTCCAGAGACAGAGACTCTACAACCTCCCTGGGCAGCCTGTTCCAGTGCTCTGCCACCCTCAATGGAAAAAAGTTCTTCCTCATATTGAATGGAACTTCTTATGCTGTAGTTTGTGTCCATTGCTCCTTGTCCTGTTGCTGGGCACCGCTGAAAAGGGTCTGGCACCATCCTCTTGGCACCTGCCCTTGAGATATTTATATGCATTAATGAGATCCCCTCTCAGTTTTCTCTTGTCTAGACTAAACAGGTTCAGCTCCCACAGTTTCTTCTCAAAAGCAGAGTACACAGAAAGAGGAAGGCTGGGATCTCAGGTAGAGGAAAAAGAGAAAAAAAATCTCTGCTTTTATTAAAATATATTACCCTAGCAAACCCAAATCCAAAAGAAATATTCTTCTCGTAGACAAGTGGCAAACTGAAGGTATAGCAGGAGGAACTAAATCTGTTCCATCAAGGCAGTCAGAAGGTTAGTAAATGACTGTTGTGTTTTGGGGGATTTTTATGGACAAGAATGCCTTCCAGACCTCTCAAGTGTGATCACAGATAAAACAGTTTGGTTATTATAGGAGCTGACTCCTAGAAAATCAATTCCATTACACAAATAAAACAACTAACAGTGGGAGCCACAAAGAGAGTGGAAAAGCATATTGTATTGTCACAGAAGCCAACCATCGGATGAGTAGCATGATACTTCCTTAGAAATCAGGCAAGCTATTTGCCAGAGACCCTTAATGCTTCAAACAAAGCACTAAAAAGAGCTCAACATCAAAGGTCCTCAAAAGGACACATATAAACTGAGTTGAAAACAGCAAAACATGTTGGCAGCCAGTGCCAACAATGGATATTAATAAATGACATTGAAGCTACTTCACCATATTTGGGATGTCAGTAGATTGATAGAAATGGAAAAGAATGACTTTTGGGGTAAAAACTAAGGACAACTTCCAGTGTTACCAGAAAAACGTATAAGCAAGATTTCTAGGAAGTTGAATCATAGCAGATGATGTTCTGGCAGTACAGATGCAATAGCTAGGGGAAGGTTGATGAAAATCATGATAGAAATCCCCGCTGTCTTCTGTGAACCTTCAAGGATACAGAACTGCAGTTGGAAGTGGTGACACTGAGCCACTGACCACATAATGTCTGTGACCTGGCCTTGGGAAGGCAGAATTAAGGAAACTCAAATCCACATTAAATGGATTCAGTTGGTTTACAGACTATTAGCACTGGTAAACTAGCTACGCTTCTTCCCCCTAGAGACTTTCGGTGAAAGTAAACGTTCATGGTTACTATTACACAAATGAGTTATATGGGTAATTTAATGTGTCACAACTATCCCATACCTCAGAGACTAATTACCTACCCCAGAACATTGGAATCTGTATAGAAAAATGTGACAGAAAAGACACCTACATCAGAAGTGGCAGTAGGTGTCTTCTGTGTTGAATGTCACGCTGAAAGAGGGTCTTGCAGGACCACATACATGTGAAAAGTACATGAGAAATATGTTCAGTTAGTCCAAGCATTGGAAACCTTCAAAGAGAAGGTGACCATGAACAATTAGCTTTTAAAAAACACACTACTGGAAGCTTTTGGAAAGTTTTATCACATGCTGTTGATATTGCAAAGCCGTAACTTATACAAAATACGCTTCAGGATACTGAGGTGTACCTAGCTGGCTTCTTTTCCAATGGGATATTGTGACACAAGGCATGACAGATGATCAAAAACACTACTTCATCATCTTGAAAGAAATACAAACAACTGTGTGGCACAGAAAACACCAATTGAGGTAGTTATGAGGCAATTTCAAGACAGCAGTGAGAAAGAGTCTGAGAACAAGCTATCTAAAAGAAAAAATTACAAGTGTCCATACCAGTTGTTCTGTTGGGAGAATGAACAATGAGAGTGAGGCATGATCTTCCTCTGAAGACTGGTGAGATGGGATGAGTGGACTATGGCAATATCATAAGTAAAAGCAGCCATATCACAGGAAAGGTTTTCTCCAAGGTGTATTTGACCCAATCTGGATTAAAATCTGGGAAAGCAGAGATGCCATAACCAGCTGACGAAAATATCTTGTGGCCACTTCTAATACAGTTGGGAAAATTCAAAGGCAATAAAACCAAATTACTTTTCTAACAGGCCTGTCTACATTGCAGAAGTGTAATCTTTCATTGCAGTCTTCCAGTGTGCTGCAAATAAAATCTGGTGCTCAGACTCCTAGGGACCAGAGACATGGACAACGTAATCACAGCAACTGTCCTGGACAATGCAAGGAAGACACAGAGAGCCTGCAATCTCATGGTGTGGTTTCACAGGGGGAAATAAAAGACTTCATTCAAGTTACCTGTTTCTGTGAAGTCAGATGCATCAGATCACTACTAGCGGAAGGGCAGATAGGGATGGGTTTTTTTATGTCCAGTAGAAGGTTTTGGGGTTACCACAATTTGCCACTTCTGCAGCAAAATTTACTGGAGGCATTTGATGTTCATTGTGAAGACCACAGCAGAAAGAATCACACAAGATGGGGCTCCCATTCCTGTCTGTGGTGGATTCAGGGTTCAAGTTCTTTACCAAACAGTGAGGAAGCATTTTCTACTGGGGCTTCCATATTGCAGGAGAACATCTTTAACCAGAAACTTATTCCATGCTGAGATCCCTTGATTTAATCCCAAATTTGTTTCCTTTAATTTGTTTCCTCTGTTTTTCTGTTCTTTTTTGGGGAAAATTAGGAGAGGAAACAATTATTTTTGCTAAGGATAGGTTGAAAAAATATCGATGGGAGCAGTGCCTATGAAGGAGCGTCAGGCCATATGATATTGCCCCAAGCACTCTCTCAGCCTGAACTACTGCAGCCTGGGGGACATCCTAACTTAGATGGGCCTCTGCCTATTTGTTTTTCCCTGGGTACTTGTCCAGTGTCCCCTTAAGCCCCTGTTAACCTTCAGTAGTTACTGCTTTGTCACTCGCTTGTTTTATGCT